GTTGGTGGTCTAGTTTCATTTTTTTGCATGTATCAATTTTCCCCATACCATTTATTGAAGAGACTGTCTTGACTCCATTGTATGTTCATACTTCCTTTGTCAAATATTAATTGAACATAGTGGTTTGGATCGCTATCTGGATTCTCTATTCTATTACATTGGTCTATATGTCTGTTCTTCTGCCAGTACCAGGCTTTGTAATACAGCTTGAAATCTGGTATTGAGATCCCACCTACTTTGTTCTTCTTTCTCAGGATTGCTGTGGCTATTCGGGGTCTTTTTCTTTTCCAGATGAATTTTTGGAGAGTTCTTTCTAGGTCTGTGAAATATGCCATTGATATTTTAATGGGGAGTGCATTGAATCTATAGATTGCTTTGGGTAGTATGACATTTTAATGATGTTGATTCTATCAATCCATGAGCATGGTATTTTCTTCCATCTGTTTTCGTCTTCCTCTATCTCTTTTTTCAGTGTCCTGTAGTTTTCCACGTATAGGTCTTTTACTTCCTTAGTTAAGTTTATTCCTAGGTATCTTAATTTTTTTGGTGCGATGGTAAATGGAATTGCTTTTTTTAGTCTCTCTGTAAGTTCACTATTGATGTATATAAATACTATAGATTTCTTGGCATTAATTTTGTATCCTGCTACATTGCCGAATTCATTTATTAAGTCTATTAGTTTTTTGATGGAGTCTTTAGGGTTTTTTATGTACAATATCATGTCATCTTCAAATAAGGACAGCTTTACTTCTTTTCAGTTTGGATGCCTTTTATTTCTTCTTCTTGTCTAATTGCATAGTACTTCCAGTACTATGTCAAACAGGAGTGGTAAGAGTGGGCATCCCTGTCTTGTTCCTGTTATTAGGGGAAATAATTTTAGTTTTTACCCATTGAGTATGGTGTTGGCTGTGGGTTTGTCATATATGGCTTTTATTATGTTGAGGTATGATCCTTCTATTCCCACCTTGCTGAGCGTTTTTATCAAGAAAGGGTGTTGGATGCTGAAACTGGTTTGGCTCAGTGGATAGAGCATCAGCCTGGGAACTGAAGGGTCCTGGGTTCAATTTCGGTCAAGGGCATGTACATTAGTTTCAGGCACATCTCCAACGGGAGGTGTGCAGGAGGCAGCTGATTGATGTTTCTCTCTCATTGATGTTTCTAGCTCTCTATCCCTCTTCTTTCCTCTCTATAAAAATTTAATAAAATATATACATATATTTTAAAAAGGGTGTTGGATTTTGTCAAATGCTTTTTCTGCATCAATTGATATAACTATGTGATTTTTATCTCTCAATTTGTTTATGTGATGTATCACATTTATTGATTTGTGAATATTGTGCCAGCTTTGCATCCCTGGGATAAATCTTACTTGGTCATGGTGTATGGTCTTTCTGATGTACTGCTGAAGCTGATTTGCTAGAATTTTGTTGAGGATTTTGGCATCTATGTTCATGAAGGATATTGGCCTGTAATTCTCTTTCATTGTGTTGTTTTTATCTGGTTTTGGTATTAGGGTGATGCTGGCTTCATAGAAGGAGTTTGGAAGTGTTCCTTCCCCTTGAATTTTTTCAAATAGTCTGAGGAGGATAGGTTTTATTTTTTCCTTGAATGTTTGGTAAAACTCCCCTATGAAGCCATCTGGCCCCAGGCTTTTGTTTACTGGAAGCTTTTTGATGTCTGCTTCCATTTCTTCCATGTTATTGGCCTATTGAGATGTTTAGATTCTTTCTGATTGAGTTTTGGAAGGTTGTATTTTTCTAGGAATATATCCATTTCCTCCAGGCTGTCCAGTTTTTTTTTTTTTGGAATAAAGTTATTCATAGTATTTTTTAACAATCCTTTGTATTTCGGTGGAGTCTGTTGTTATTTCCCCTCTTTCATTTCTGATTTTGTTTATTTGGGTCCTCTTTGCTTCTTTTTAAAAATATATATATATATTTTTTATTGATTTTTTTTTTTTTACAGAGAGGAAGGGAGAGGGACAGAGAGCTAGAAACATCAATGAGAGAGAATCATTGAACAGCTTTTGTCTCTCTCTTTGTTTCTTGGTGAGTCTGGCTAGAGATTCATAAATCTTGTTTATCCTTTCAAAGAACTAGCTCTTGGTTTTATTGATCTTCTGTATTTTTTTTTTGTCTCTGTCATTTATCTCTGTTCTGATCTTTATTATTTCCTTCCTTCTGCTTACACTGGGCTTTTCTTGTTGCTCTCACTTGAACTCTTTGAGTTGTAGGGTTAAGAAAATATTTTTGTTTTACCTTTGAGTATGAAAATTAATAATCTTTATTCTTGGGACTTTGTAGGCATTTCTTCATTATCTTCTAGCCTTTGGTCTCATGGATAAGAAGTGTGATGCTAGTTTTATTCTTATTTCTTTGCAAATAGCCAGTTTTTGCTCCATTCTAAGACATGTAGAATTTTAAGTTTATTTTGGAAATTAGAAATATCAGGAAAGACACCCATTTTTTAACATGAATCAGAAAGAGTATAGGGAATGGAGAAATGTGCTGCCACCATGCCCACCCAGGCACTCCAAGTTACAGTCAGACCAAAGGGCTTGCGTGTCTGTGAACCCACCATACATTTTCAAACCTTAATCCCTGAGCATTGGTTCACCCTCCCTCCTCTTCTCAACTGGGTATTTTTGCCTGACATGTAAGGCAAACCTCAATTGTTGCTGTATTTAGGAACTTTCTCCAGTTCGAGTTAAGTGCCACCCATTTGTGCCCCACAGAGCTCCCTATGAATGCTCCGGCATACCAGTTGTTGGGTTCTGTGTTCATCTCTGTAAACTCTTTGAGGACAATGGGAAGACCTTTTTTTGGGCAGTGGCTGTGACCTACCCATATCTCTCCTCTCAACCCCTAGTGCAGTACCTGTTTACACAGCTGGGTGTTTTAAAATATTTATGGAAGGGAATTAGAGTTTAAAAACATATGACTGCTTTTTAGAGCATTGCAATCGACATAAATTTGATGTCATTACAAATTACACATACTGAGTTCCTTTATTCAATTGATCCCAGGAATGTATAAGAAATAATATATAAGATTCATTGAACACTAACTGTGTGGTAGGTACTGTTGTAAGGCCTTAAAGCATTAATTAATCTAAGCTTTACAACAACCCCATGGGGTAGGTACTATTACCATTCTCATTACAGATAAGGAAACAGACTTCTAGGAAGATTAAGATTCTTTTTAAAGATCACACAGTGGGTGAGTGAAGTGGGAAAATGTTAACCAAGACAGCCTATCTGCACTTTATACAACACTGTGATGGTCATTTGATAAATAGTTCAATTAAGTTTAGTTCTATTATACTATCAGTATCATGTGAGTGATGTGTCAGTCATGAGCTAGGCACTGAGACACATAGTGATTGCTGCCTGAGGGAATCAATAATATTGAGAAGGAAATGATTGTATAAATAAGTAAATACCATGTGATAGTATAGGAGTAATAGGATCTTATCTATTGCCAATAAGTATCATCTTCTACTATGTGACAATTTTAACAGCTTAAAACATTAAATGTTTATTCTTATAGTTTCTGTCAATCAGGAATCTGACTTGTCTGGGTGCCACTGTTTCCAGCTCTGTCCTCAAGCTATAATCATGTTTTGGTGAGGGCTGTGGTCTCATCTGAAAGCTCAACTGAAGACCGTATGGTTGCAGTTGAGATTCTCAGCTGTGTGTGAGCTCCAGGAATTGTTTACTCACCCTTTTAGGTTTCACCTACATATACAAAAATTAATATTTGGCCAAAGACCTTACTACAGATAACTGGGGTCCCTATCTTTGGAGACTCTAACATGTACAGTGGAACCTTGGTTCTCAAACTTACTTCATTCTGCAAGGCTGTTTGAGAAGTGATTTGTTAAAACACACACACACACACACACAAAACAAAAAAACAACAAAAAACACCAAATCATTGTTTTTCACTAGAAATACTTTCAGCACTCATTCCAGGGTGTCTTTTTAGGTAGTCAGCATGCGCATCTTGGCTTTTTCAGATATCACTACCTCTGAAGTGCTGTCTTTGGTTAACTGCTTTTTGCTTATCCAAATAAATAGCAGTTTTTCTAACTCTTCAATGGCCTGTGATCATTGTTTTTTTCACATCCTAAGCAACATTATGATGGCCTCTTTATATTTTAAAATTGTACTAATCATCCATTTCACCAGCACAAAAGCAAAAAGCACTAAACATAAATTCACAGCACAATTTTCTGAGGTGTTAACAACTCGAGGTTTAGTGCATTCTCTCTTTTGTTTGTGGTCGGAGAAAAGCTTTTTGCCATGCTGACTTATTAGCATGAAAGGGTTGTCAGGTTGAGAACCAAAGTTTTGTTCAAAGACTGAGACATTTTTTCCCCCATGAACAACTTAGTCAAGAACTGAATTGTTTGAGATGGGAAAAGTTTGAGAGCTGAAGTGTGAATATATATTGTTGTTCCTTAGAATCAGGTGATTTATTCAATATAGCTGGAGTTATAGAATTCTGATATAAACATGTCTAGTGGCTCCATATTAGTAAATGCCCACCATCTCCTTTTCTCCATTCCCTCCTTCTCTTGCCCTTACACACCACATCCACTGCCACCAATGATTGAATGACTCAATGCTAGTGTGATAGAGGAAAGTATTGCTCGAATGTGGCTTCTGTCAACCAAGGTGAAGACACATTCTTTACTGTGACATGTATGGCACCAAGTATTCTAGTCCTTACCTCCAAATATATTCTCTGTTCACTGTTACCAAAATATGCCTGATATAAATACTGCTTTAAACATGTTATTTAATCTAGAATGCCCTTCTTTCTGAAACAACCCTCTTCTAAATACCTAGAGAAACAGAAACACACACACACAGTCAGCATAAGACTCAGACACACAGAATGATATTGTCTCCAAGTGGCATTCTGCTTATTTTTAATGCCTGTGTTGCTTTTGCTAAAGTATAATTCTTTGTGTACATATCTTTTATATTTTGCCAGATTAGTAGGTCTCCAAGCCAGTGCTGTGTCTTGGTCATTGCTTCCCTCCTCGGATGCATCAGAAAGTGGGCATTCAGTAAATCATCTTGATGGGCTACTTTGGTTTATTTCTAATAGAGAAGTCCTTGAAGTGAGAATTAGTGCCTCCTAGACAATTACTGTACACATGGCCCTGTGACCCGTGTAACACTATTAAGAATGACTGTAGTTTGTATCCAATTTGCTGCACATCAAACAATTATTCATCTGCTATAAAAGTGTTAGAAATAATTTTCTTTTGTCGTTAGAAAAAATGTTAGTAATAAGGACCTAAGTAAAACACATAGATAGCCCAAGGGTCTGTACCTGTTTAAATAGTAGCTTTCACTCTGCTGCTGTTTAAATCCCTTGACACCAAGATATAGTAAGCACCTTTCTACTATTTAATTGTGTGAAATGATAGTGGTTTTAGAGCTGAACTTCTAAGTAATTTTTCTCTTTTGTGTACTTTCCAGAATTCACCCCAAACATAATTTTTCAAGTATGAATAATACCTTAAAAATCAACCCCAAGGTAAAAGTTGTAGGACAACATAGGAAACGAAGCCACTTTTCCTGTTTCCTGTTGGTAAATTACTGTGTTTTCTGCCACCAGGCTTCATCTGATGTAGTGACCTTTACTGTACTAATAGGCAGCAAACAGAATTTGCCAAACTGTGATAAAATATAGGTTTTAAATATAAAATGCATTACACTAAGAAAATTTATAAAGGTCAAAAGCATGGGAAGAATTAAGTTGAAACAGTGATGTGTTTTGACATAGAATACTAGGTTTTCTCCAAGGTTATTATTATTATTATTTTTAAATCATAGTAACTATACATGGCAATGTTGTTGTTGGTTTTTTAAAGTAACTCTAGATTAGTTTCGACCAATGCTTGCTTGGGCTCAAACGTTAGTTTTTTCAACAACTGCTTACTGTGCACATAATACGTGCCACGCAATGAGGACACACTGGTGAGGAACTCAGTAATGATCCTTTAGCTCTTGCAACTTATGGCTTAATGAGCTGCAGACAAGCAAATGTCCAACTCTTCCACACAGCAGGTCACGCTGTGAAGGTGGCAGTGATGGAAGCTTTCCTCCCCTCAGACTTCTCAGCTAGCCCTGAGGAAGGATGGAGCTCACTGGGCAGAAAGGAGGGGGAAGAGTATTGCACTCATCAAGGACATGGAAGATAAAGCACAGAGAGAGAACAGTGTGTGCTCTGAAATTGAGAGTTCATTATGGCAGGAGGGTTAAGTCGAAAGCTGTAAAATACTATAAATTGGTGGTTCTCAGACCAGGGAGAGTTGGGCCCCCAGGAAACATTGTAGGGTCTAGAGATATTTCTGGTTGCCACAACTGAGTGTGGGGTAGAGACCAGGGTGCTGCTAAACATCCCACAATGCATCGGACAGTCCTACAACAAAGACTTATCTGGCCCCAAAGTCAGAAGAGCCTAGGCCAGGGGTCTGCAACCTTTAAGACATAAAGAGCCACTTGGACCCGTTTCCGAAGGAAAAAAAAACCTGGGAGCCGCAAAACCACTGCGAAATTTAAAACAAATATAACACTGCATATATTGTTTCTTACCTTAATGCTATATACCGGATCGTGCAGTTAGCTGTCAATCTGAAGAAAAAAAAAAAGGACTTTTTCACTTAGCAATGTAAAATATATTTTTGCAAATTAATAGCTAATTAAAATATTTAATTTACCTGGTTAATGGGATTTTTGCTCCTGAACCTCAGTGCACAGAGTCAGCACAACAAGGCTGTAAGACGTTACCTTCATTTTCACACAGGCTTGCAAGTTGTCAGAGCCGCGGTAAAGCTTCAAAAGAGCCGCTTGCGGCTCTGGAGCTGTAGATTGCCGACACCTGGCTAGGCTAAGAAACCCTGTTAGAGACGAACATGGAGGCTTAAACTGCACTTAGATCACAAAGCCGCTGGAAGGCATTTGGGATTTATTCTGGAGGTCAGGAGGTGCCACTAAAAGATTTAAGCATGTGTTGTTTGTCAGCCTGATGGCCATTCGGTAATTATGGCTGAAATTGTGTATTTGTTTCTTTATTCTGAGTCTCACGTGATCAGAAAAGTGTGCTTACCCGTTTACCGTGAAGTACATCTCCCTGTCTTACAAAGGTCAAAGGAGCATCACCGTGGAAAGTTTGCTCAGAAGTTTAAGAGCAAAAAGAAAGGATAGCTTATTTCATTGGTCTCTACCAGTCACAATATAATTTCTAAAAAGCGTGTGTATTTATTTTTTTAACTCTCTCCTGCCACAGAAGGTCAAGCATGACCATCCACTCTCAGGACCATGAAACATTGGCCATGTTGCCGTTTCAACTGGAAATAAAAGGCTAGTGCATCCTGAGCAAAGAGGTGTCATTTCAAGCTCCAATGTAGGGCTTCTGAGATTTTTAAAGGTTGTAGTCCCTTCGGAACATCCAATGACACGTATGACCTCTCCTTTTAGAAATATGGCTTTCTCATGCCCTATAGAGATACAGTGATTTCTTATGTGACGCTGATGTTCCCAGAAATAGCTAAAGGCCAAATTTATAGCAACAGAAACTTGTGAAAGGAAATCTAGCATAATTTAGAGTCACCCAGAGAAAATCTCTGCCTTTTTTCCACCAGTGAGGAACCCTTTCCAAAAATGTTCACCAAGATACCATTTGTGTCATCTTGCAAAAAAATAATATTGCATCACAGCCAAAAAATTCAATGAAAATGAGCGAGTTTTCTTATGATCCATAATGAAGACAATATGTTTCTCTGGTTACAATAACCTCTGTGATGAACAATTCTGTAAACCATGTGCTTTCTGCAGATTCCCATTCATTTAATCACTTCTCCTAAAAACAGTGGTTGATTATAGGCTCAGTGTCTTGTAAATGGGAAGAAAAGGTGAATGGACCTGTGCCTGGGTACATACCCCTCCTCAGTTCTTTTGAGGAGAAAACACATGTTTATGGTTCTATCTCTACTAACACCATTACATGAGCTCAATGCATTTCCATGTCTGGATTGTCACTATGCCCATCACTTTTCACATTTCCTAACTCTGTACAGAGACTGGGTGTCTGCTTCATCTCTAATTCTTGCTGCAATTTCTAGTTATTTGTTCATTTGATTGAGTAAAACCCTATACAATAAAAACCTAACATGCAAATCAACCAAACAGTGGAATGAACTGTGAAATGACAGGTCGCTATGACATGCACTGATCACCAGGGGGAAGAGTATTGCACTCATCAAGGGCATGGAAGATAAAGCACAAAGGAGAGAGAACAGGAGCTGTCCCCAGCCCTCAGGCCGCAGGCCCCACAGATCAGCCCGGATTGCCAGACAGGCCTAGGGACCCTACCCATGTATGAATTTCATGCACTGAGCCTCTAGTTCCATTATAATGTCAGAATGTTTCTAATGCTCTTGAGATTGGGATTTTGTGGATTCCAAAGTTAACCTCTAGTCAGAATCAAGGTGGCAGCTGGGACTGTGATTCTGTCTTGGACTCAGGGTTTCTATAAGATCCTTGGTGTTTGCAGGACTCATTTCATTCTCATGCTTTCCATGTGCAGTTCCATTCTGAAGCCAGCAATGGCAGTGAGAGTCCTTCTCATGCTTCTAGTTGCTACCTCTTTCTGCCACGTTTCTCTGACTCCTGCTGGAGAAAGCTCTCTGCTGTGAAGAGCTCACATGATTATTTTGGGTCCACCTAAATAGCACAGGATACTTTATCTCAGGGTTTCTAACCTTTGTTGCTTCTACAAAGTCCCTTTGCCATGCTTGTAGGTTAGGTTCTAAGGATTAGGGTGTAGAAAACTTTGGGGGCCATTTGCTACCAGAGATACCTACAAGGTAACATGTTATAGACAGAAAGAGAGAGAGAGAAAAAGAGAGAGAGAGAGAGAGAGAGAGAGAGAGAGAGAGAGAGAGAGAGAGAGAGAAGAAAGTTCTAATTAGAACTATTATAAGAGAATGGCTATCATCCAAAAAACAAGAGTTAACAAGTTGCTGAAACTGAACATTATCACTAATAGGGAAATGTGAAAAGGGAATCCGGAAGGCTGGTCAACCTTAATTGCTCTGAATGGTCTGAGCTAATCATTCATTGTTTAGTTGAGACATTGATAGTTGAGACATTGGTAGTTGAGACATTGGTAGTTAAAGCAACCTCCACCTGTTAATCATGTAAATTCTTGCTGATTGTCTATTATTGAAATTTCCTGCCTAAAGGATATGGTTGTATCTCATAACCTCAATAAAAGGAATAACAAAGGCCAGAGCAATGGTAGTCCTCCCCTTAGAGGTGAACTCCACCTGGCCCCCCATTTTCCCAAATCAACTCTTTTCTAGTCTCTTTCATTTGTGTGCGGCCTTCTCCATAAATGGAACCCAGAACAGGAACCCTGAACCACGCGGGAAATGGAAGGGGCTCCCACAACAAGGGTTGGCAAGAATGTGGAGTAAAGGGAATCCTATGCACTGTTGGTGGGAATATAAACTGGTACAGCCACTATGAAAACACCATGGAGTTTTCTTGAAAAAGTAGATGTAGAACTGCCATGTGATCCAGCAATCCCTCTGGGGGTATATGTCCAAAGGAAATAAAATCAGGATATTGAAGAGATATCTACACCATGTTCACTGAAGCATTATTCATAACAGCCATCATATGGAAACAAACTAAGGGTCTGTCAAGAGATGAATGGATAATAAAAATATGGTATATATGCATGATGGAATAATATTCCATCACGAGAAAGAAGATTCTGCCATTTGTGACAATACAGACCTTGAGGGCATTATGCTAAGTGAAATAAGTCAGAGGGAAAAAAATGCTGTGTAATGTCACTTACATATATAATCTAAAAAAGCCAAACTCAGAAACAGAAATTAGAATGGTGGTTACCAGGGCCTGAGGATTTGTAAGAAATGAGGAGATGATGGCCAGAGTATAAACTTCCAGTTATAAGAATATTCTGGGGGAGGAGGGCATCTAATGTACAGCAAGGTGATTACAGGCAGTCCTCGGGTTACATCAGACTCGATGTATGTCGTTTTGTGGTTATGTCGCCATCTCCCATTTATTTATAAAAAAAAAAAAGTTCTGTCATTTTGACATATGTACATATGTGCTTTGTTTTTTTATTATTTATTTGCCACAAGTAAAGATCAGAAATTGTTATGTTTCTTTTAAAATTTTTTACTGTTTCATTTCATTACTGCTGTGTATGTGCTCCATGTGGGTGACATGGGTGCTTATGTAGATGAGTTCTGACTTACAGTGAAAATCCCGTTATGTTGCACTGTAGGAACGGATCTCTGATGTAATCTGAGGGCCTAGTGTATGGCTAATAATATTGTATTATATTTGAAAGCTGCTAAGAGAGGTGGTGGAAATGTAGGCCAATGCTGAAGGAGTAACTATTGCAGTATATGAGTGTGTCAATGAGCAATGGTGACATCTATATCTCAATTAAAAATGAGTAAGTAGAAATAAGTTAAATGTCTAAAATTAAATGATAAAAAAAGAATTCTGGGAGAACTGTCTAATTAGAATTATTAGAGGTGGGAGCATTTTAGCAGGGTCTTGAGGTTTTTATATTTTGATTGGTGGGAGTGAAGATGGCCATTTTAGATGAAGGTAAGAGTGTTTAGAGATTTGAATATGTGGAAAGTATTAGAGTTTGGACAAAATAATACAATAGTCAAATTTGGAGAAAGAAGGATGAAAAAACAGTTTAAGTCAGAGGGCAAGATTCTTAAATTATGGGTCAACAGTTTATTCTTACTAGAAATATACCTGTACTTTGAAGACACTGAATTAAAAAGTATTTAAAAACTAAATAAAAATAATCCTTAACTGCTGCAAGTAAATGAAAGGATCAGTTTTGCAATGGTTGTGTACATTTGTCAGCAGGAAGATAATGTTACTGGTGTGATGAGAGTTGGGGAAAGGTCTGAGCATTGATTAAGCTAAATACAGAAATGGTACCGCTTAGCAATGCCTATATTAGGACTTCCTATGAAAGCTTTGATATTCTCTATGAAGTAAAGTTTTATACATGGTCATGCTTAAACATCACTGTAATGCACACTTCCACCACACATGTGAATGATTTGGAGGTTATAATTTCCCTTTTCATTCATGAAAATAATCAAATGTAATATGATTTGAA